GGCAGGCAGCGGAACCACTGAGCTAAAACCTTGGCCCTGTCCCTCTTGATAGTCTGAACAAACTCTTGTCTTATGGATTTTGGTAAATTCCTTTACCACACACGTCACTGGCCCTCCGATATGCCTTCTGCCCCAGCCAAATGTACCTCATATCCTCACACTTCTTTCCTCTCTTCTGTGACCCTTGACTATGGCCCACTCCTAGCAGGTCCCCCGGGCCCAGTTGGCCTCCTAATCGCTTTCTCTTACCTCTAACTAGTGGGACCCGACCTCAACTCCAGATACCACTCGCTCACTCTCAGAACTAATCCATGCTAGTTAGTGCAGCACTGTTGGATCTTTGCAGTGTGGCTCCTGGCTTCCACTCATGCCGCTCCTCACTGCACGTCATGCTCACTTCCGGTGCGCACCGTGTTTCACACATCCTGGCCTCACTTCCGGAAATCCCCCCCGCCCCGAGTCCCTGCATTACCTACCAGAAAATGTTCTATTCATCCTCCAAGGTGCCTTCACATACCACCTCCTGGGTGACGACTTCTGTTGCAGTGGCAGGCTTGGTGTCACCTTCTGATCCTACAGTTGTTAAGGCAATGCCGCTAAACCTAGATTCCTAGAATGAAAGGTTTGAGTATTTATCAGAGTTGTTTGCTGAATTGTAAAGACATTACTCAGTCATCATTCCTCCCTGTTTTGCGCTTCTTAATGCCCCCAGTTTGTGTTTGGGACCCAAGTCACAAACTGTTGTATTCTTCCCTTGGCTTGTTTTGTGGTACTGGAGAGTGAACCCAAGGCCTTTGTACTGAGCTATATCCCCAGCCCTTTTTTAAATTTTTTTTTTTTTTGTATTGGGGATCAAACTTGGTTCCTTATGTTTGTGAGGCAGGCAGCAGAACCACTGAGCTAAATCCCCGGCCTTAATTTTGTATTTTGAAACAGGTTCTCACTAAGTGGCTCCAACTTGTGATCTTCCTGCCTCAGTCATACCCCCCCACCAAGTGCTGGGATTACAGGAGTGTACCACTATATCTGGCTCCTCGATATTATAATATATATATATTTTTTGTACTGGGGATTGAACTCTGGACCTTATGCTTGTGAGGCAGGTGGCAGAGCCATTGAGCTAAATCCCTGGCCCTGGTATTTATTATTAATGTTAGTGCCAACCTCCAGTGGGGACATGTAATCATCTTCATGCAGGTACTTCCTAAAACCACTAGAATTGTGCCCATCTCCCCTCCCAGCCACCAAAGGTAATGTATCTGCTAAGAGAAACATTCTTCTCACTTTCTCTTCCTGTCCTCCAAGCCCTAGCATTTCCTACATGGCAAGCTAACTTGAGCTCACCTCTCCAAGAAGCCTGGTCTGGCTAAGTTGGACCCTTGCTTCCACACGTACCTATTGTGTCCAGCAAGGCCAGGAAACTGCCAGAGAGGGCTGGTGTTATAATACATCGTCACCGGAGCTGTCCCATGATATTTAACCAGTAGTTCTTCTCCCCATCAGGTTCTGGTAGCACATTGAGGTCATCTTTGTAGCACTCAGCCCAACTGCCACTGTGCCAAGAACTGTGAGACACATGATCCTCCCTGGAGGTGCTTCGTTGCGGCTGCTTTTTCTCGGGAGAAGTTTCAGCTGTTTTCTTCCTTCAGGGGAGCTTCAAACCCCGTGTTCATCTTGGATGTCATCTCCTGGCTTCCTCAGCCCCTGACCCAGACACTGCTTCCAGCACTGGCCACTGGGCCTTTCCGGCACAGATCCTTCTGTCCCCCATTGCACATCTTTCATTCTCCAGATACGGACTCGCACAGGACATTGCCTTAAGCTCCAAGCCCTCGACTGGATCCTTCAGGTCTCCAGCGCATGGACAGATGTTTTGCACTCTTCTACATCTGATTCTAGTAAGCACTGCCTGATCCAGTGTTTTAACCATAAAGAAACGATAAGTGTATGAATGGAAATGCTTGATCTAAACATTACACAATGTATTGAAACATCATATGGTGCCCCATTAACATGTGTAATCTTTGTTTTTATGTATCAGTTAAAAATTAAAAAGATTTCGGGCCAGGGATTTAGCTCAGTGACACCACACCTGCCTTGCAAGTGCAAGGTCCTGAGTTTAATCCCCGGTGTCAAAAAACCCACCGATTTCTTAATGTTTTAAGAGCCTGTAAAGACTTTTGAAGACATTGGTTTAATTTATAATTGGAAATCAGTAATGGGGATGCTGAATTAGGCACAACATGGTTGATATTATACAGATCTTAGAAGAGCCTTAAGGTCAACGTACATATCTTTCAGCTGGGCATGGTGGGGCATGCCTATAATCTTACTTAATTGAGAGGCTAAAGCAGGAGGATCTTGGGTCCAAGACCAGCTTGGGAAATTTAGTAATATCATGTCTCAACATTTTTTTTTAAGGGCTGGTGGTATTACTCAGTGTTAGAGTGCTTGCCTAGCATGTATAAGCCTTGAATGCTGAAAAATAAAACAAAACAAAACTCTTCCCAGCTCTCTCACCGTGTACATTTGGACATGTGTGTGCCAGGATATACTTTGCTTCAGGATATGGTCAGTGTCCTTTAGCTTTGGGCTGTAGCCTTGGGAAAGTCTGGGGCTGAAGCCAGAGGTTTGCTCTGGTCCTATCTGGCCTCTGATACACATGTGATGCTGCTCCAATCATATCTTCTCTGGGTGTCAGATTCCTAATCTGCCTCCCTGAAGTGGGATTCAGGCTCTGGGTCCCTGAATGCACCCCCAGGATCTACTGTCCCTGCTCATAGAGGGCAAGAGCCTCTCTTCTACTCCACGGAGCTTGCAGGAGCTATGGGTCCGTGTACCTCTGTGTATTGCTCTTGCAGTTACCAGACATCAGACCTTGGAGGATTTTGTTTTGTGTTATAAAGCCCCCCAGGATTTGTAATGATCATTTTGTATGGAAACCATCTCACAAAGTGGTCTCTGCATTTAGCAAGCATGAATGAGTCAAAGAATACCAAAATATAGAGGTGTGCTCAGTCCTTTCTTTGCTTCCTACTCACCACACTCTGGTTACATTCTACCTTAGCTGAAGGCAGGCATGCTGGTACGTACCTATAATGCAGGCTTTCTGGAGGCTGAGGCAGGAGGATTGCAAGTTCAAGCCCAGGCTGAGCAAATTAGCAAGTAGGCAAGACCTTGTTTCAAAATAAAAAAATTAAAGGACTGGAGATGTAGCTAAGTGTGAAGGCCTTGGATTCAATCCCTAGTGCTGCAAAGCAACCAAGCAAACAAATAAAAAATAACCTGAGCTGACACCCCTGCATGGGAGATGAAGTAAGTAAAGAGAGAGAGAAAAGGAAGTGTGTGGATCAGGGTGGCCAAGGCAGGTGGAATACAGGATCACCTTTACTTACTCCTCTGATGCCACAACCCAGGTACCTTTATAATTCCAGCCCTGGTCTCTCATCCCCATCCCCTGACCCCTCTTCCTCCTTGCTTTCCCAGATTGACATTGCCTCTACTTACCCTTTGTTAGTAATCTCCCCATGTTCCCTAAAGCACTCATGGGAGTGAGATGACAGAATGACAACTATTGCTGCTGCTAGTCTTACTGCTGCTTGTTGAGCTCTTACATTGTGCAAGTGCTGTTCTAAGCACTAGGCACTCCATATGCCTGCCCTTCTTTCCTTCCTTCCTTCCTCCCTTCATCCCTTGTCTCCTTCCTTTCTTTTTTCTCCTTCTGGGGATTGAGCCCAGGGGTGCTCTACCACTGAGCTACATACTTAGCTCTTTTTATTTTTTACTTTGTAACAAAGTCTTACTGAGTTGCCCAGGCTGGGCTAAAATTGCAATCCTCCTGCCTCAGCCTTCCAAAGTTGCTAGGACTACAGGCATGTAGCATGAAGACCAGCCATGATATTACCTATAATTATATTCTATGTAATAGAATATGTAACAGGCATTGTTATTAATAATTTATAGAGGAAGCTGAGACAGAGAGCTTCTCCCTAAGCTGGGATTTGTCTCCAGCTGTCTGATTTCAAAGTGTATGCTCTTGTGTAAGAAGAGCTACTCCACTATGTATTCCTAGAATCTGTTTGCATTTTACCCACCTACAAGAAAGAGAAGAGAAAGAAGCAGACTTCAAAAGTATCCACAGAGACAAAGAGGTGCCAAACCAAGCAAGGTGTGATGGCCCACACCTGTAATCCCAGTTCTCTGCAAGGCTAAAGCAGAAGGATCACAAGTTTGATCCCAGCCTGGGCAACTTAACAAGGCCCTATCTCAAAATAAGTAAAATTAAATTTAAAAGGCTGGGGATGTAGATCAGCATAAAGGCCCTGGGTTCAATCCCAGTACCACCAAAAACACACACACCATCCCCAACAACAATAAAATAAAAGTGGTGCAGAACCCACAAGAGGCACCAGCATAGGCTATGGAAGGCTAAGATGTGCAGCTGGTGGGCAGTGGCAGACAGATGAAGAGTGAGTACATGCACCATGCACTATCCAATGCTGCAACCCCAGTTTAGTAGTTCACCAGGCTTTGGGCTATAAAAATGGAGCTGGATGGAGAGGGATTGAGAAGGCAAGATTCGGGGGCAGGTACTGGGAATCTTCAGGCCCCACCAGCCTCCTGAGCCTGAGACCCCTTCCTTGTAGGATTTTCCCCTCAAATTCAAGCATGGATTTCAGTTGGTTACTTCTACCAGGAGCTTTGAACTCAATCTCTAGCACACCCCACAAAGAGTCACCTTCCATGTTATGCCTGGATGGGAAGACCAGGATATGTAAGATTAATTTAAAGATGTCCAGATGCAAGACCACCATACCTTGAATCTCAACTTTCTTCAACTCTCAGCTCTTTGGTTGGCCAAGCCCACTGCTCACCCTTCTGTCCTGGAGGGAATACAATGACTTCTGAGAGAGGGAGAGGTCACAGTGGGGTGGAGGGAGAGGTGAACTGGATTCTGGTTAGAAGTTTAAATTCCAACCATCACAATATGGAACCCCCCATAGCTTTTGTGGTCTTGCCTTCCAATATTTTAGGCCTCAGTCTTTGCAAGTTAGGCAGCCTGGAAATGCCATGCTCACCCATTTCTCTCTGATCTTACATGTACTTCTCCAATATCAAAATGTTCACTTCCTACCTGGAAATTTACTCATTCCTCAAGGTCCAGATAAAAGACTAACTCCTTTGTAAGTAAAAATAGTAAAGAAACATAGTCAACTGTAGGATTTTAGAGAAAATGAGAGCAGACTATCTCTACTACATCTTTGTCCCTTGTCTATCCTGATCATCCAACTTCTAGTCTCAGTAAGGAGGGGGCACTTACTATAGTAAGAAAAGAGTTACTAATAGGTTTCCTAGGGCCCACTTATGGGTCTGGCTTGATCCAAAGCCCCAGAGTCTCATTAGCAATCTTCTCCCCACTCTGCTATCTAAGGACCATGATGATCTCAGAAGGCTGGGGCTTGAGGGATGAAGAGTTGACTTGGGAAATCTGAGTTCAGTATCCTGGGAGAGTCTGAAACTTTGGGCCAAGGAGACAGGAACCCATTTCTCTGCAGTGACAATGGGAATACCTGCAGCAAGAGCAGCAACAAATGAACTCAGGGGAAGTAGAAGTCCCCAAAATTTTGGTAGCTGCTCCCTGTAGATAGGAAAGTTACTGCTCTGTCCACATTTTCCTAAAATTTGAAACAAAATGTAGCTAGAAAACTGAACACGTGGATTTGGAGTAACATCAGAAACATGGTAGACTAGGAGGTCCTAGCCCTTAGATCTCATAAAAAAAACAATGATCTAGCAGCTTTTCATGGACTTAAATAGCTCCAGAAAGCTCCAGAGTTCAAATAAGGAGAAGCGGCAGCCAAGTATACAACAAAACTCAATAATAACTTCACAGGAAAGACTAAGGACATTTCATTTTTCCCATGTCATTCCCATCTCCAAGGATGGTACACATCAGAGATGAGAAAATCCCATTTCCACAGGTTCCTCTTCAGGGGAAAAGAATAGCAAGAGGACCCCAGCAACTTTTACCAACAGTGAAATCAGCAACCTTCACTGCCACTACACATTCCCTTTGCCTTCACTGCCAAAGATCTCTATGGTCTTCACTACCCTGGACTCCAGCTGATGGAGCCACCTGGAGCCCAGTGATATTCTACCTTCTTGGAACTAGAGTCAATGCCTCCTACACTGGTACCCCCAAACCTAAAACCACTGTGATTCCTCACACACTCACCAGCACTCTTTTTCCCACCTACAAGTGAAAGACTTTGCCTACAGAAGCCATCCATAATATCTGGATATCATGACTGCCTCTTCAAATGAAACACTAATATAGCAAGGAACACTAGAAACTAAGGAAATATGACACCTCTAAAGGAACACAATACATTTCCAGTAACTCCACAGAAAAGGAGATCTATAAATTACCAGCAAGAAATTCTTAATAATTGCATTGAAGCCCTCCAGAGAGCTATGCAAGAACACAGATGGATAACTCAGCAAAATCAGGGGAATACATGAACAAAATGAGAAGTTTCACAAAGACTGAAATAATAAAAAATGAGTGAACTGAAATACCAAAGCTAAAGAATACAATGACTGAAATGAAAAAATACAGTAAAGAGATTCAAAAGCAGATTTGAGGAAGGAACAGTGAACAAGAGAACAGTCATTTGAAAAATTTCAAATGGAAAATAGAAAAAATAGCAGCAGTGTGTGGCAATCCAGAGAGCCCCACCCCTTTGGCACAGAGCAGCAGAGGAGCCCAGCAGTGCATGGCTGTTTCGTGAACCTGCCCATTTGGTGCAGAGCAGGGGAGGAGCCCAGCTGTGCAGGTGCCAAGACAGCCCACCCCCACAAACAAGAGAAAGAGGGCCTAGATGAAAATTGAAGCCCACTGGAAAAGTGAAGAAAATCTGCAATAAAAGCACACCAGACCACTGTAGTTGCTAAGTTGGAGGGATCAGCACCTCCCATCAGAACCTGAGCTATCTTCAGGGGAGGAGCAGCTGGAACCTGCATTAGAACCTTGCAGAGATCAACCCAGCAGGAGGTCAGTGATCTCAACTTGGGCCTTGCAGCCAGAAATCAGCCTGAACCTCAGGAGATAGCTGCTGGCTTGCTGAGATTAATTAACATAGATCTGCTCATGCCTGCCCATGCTGTCTATTGTGTCAGCAGAGGCATACCCTGAAGGAGGCCCTTTATTTTCTCTTCCTTTCTCTCTCCTCCCAACTTTGTTCTTCATTTCTTTCTGTTTTTGTTCCTGTCCTAACTCCTATTTCTTTTTTTTCTCTTTTTCCTTCTCTCAATTGCCATTAGTTTTAAAAGGTGATTACACTTTCTAGCCTCTTGTATATATTTTGTTTTGACTTCTCCTCTTCTCTTCAACAGCTTCCTAGATTAATAACTACCACAAATTGTCATTTTTCTAAACCGTGCATTATGCTATTGTTGATTGTGACTGTATCACTTGAGCTAAAGTGTTATGATAGATCTAATCAATTGTCCCTCCTGGTATTATGAAAATGAAAATGTCTCAGAGTAATTAGTGATAGGGAAAACCTCAATAAGTGAAAAATTTAGGAAATGTCACAATATAAGATAACTTCTGCTCCTCACCTGCTTAGTTCAGAATTAACTGGTACCCAGAGACAGCTAGTCTCCCCACAAAAGTTTGTAAGTGTTAGCTTTGTTAATCAAACAGGCTCCCTTCCCCCTGGCTGGAGTAGGTAATTGAATGAATCTAAAAGGTAACTTCCCTAACAAAGAACTGCATCCAGGTTGAAATTCAACTGCCTTGCTATCATGTTTTGGGTATCTGTGAAAATGCAGTGTAACCAACTGAGTAAGATCAAAGCTGTAAAACCCTGTAAAAGTAAGAGTTGTAGCCCAATGGGGGAGTCGATCAGGGCACCGCCATCAGGTGTGATCGATCTCCATCGATGGAGTAAACTTTTTTATTTTACTTCCATTCTGCTGCCTCTCTGTGTGTCACTTGCTGTCTCCTTCCATAACATTAGAAACCCAAAACCTAAAGACCAGCTATATCTGGAAGGTTGAAGTATTAACCCAGGAATTAAAACAAGGACAGTACCAACAACAAAAATAGAAATGAGAAGACATTTAAACAAGGCACAAACACAGACTTCCAGCTCACCGAAGATAAATTCTTGGGGAAATGAGGTGGGAAAGTTTGACAGTCAACCACCTGGACACTCTGAACTGATAGCACAGGAAGTAACAAAACAGATGAATGAGGCTCTAGAAAAATTCAAAACAAAAATAATTTCCCAGATAACTACAGAGATGGTGAGTAGAGTGAAAGACATGATCAGAGACTCTAGAACAGAAACAGATTTTAAAAAATAGATGAGCTCAGGACCATGGAGGAAACCATGAATGCCCAGCATAGGAAAGAAATGGAAAGCATGAAAACACAACATAGGAAAGAAATGTAATCCATGAAACTGATCCAAACATATATCCAGGAGATTAAAAACTCTACTGAAAGTTTTTATAGCAGAA